GACCTTTAGGTGTTTCCACTCCCACGCACCCACCTTTCTAATCCATGAGTGGAACACACTTAGGAAATATGGAAACATATATGGAGAAATTGGTACAACTGTAGTACATGTCTGAGAAACTCAAGAAAGCAGTCAGGTAGAAAATGTTAATTATACTGCAATCAATACCATGTTTCAGGGAATTTCTGAGGCCCCTTTCTGCCTTCTCCGGTGGAAGTAAAAGATCCTATAGGATTTTTTCAAAGAATTTTAGGGGAGTTGTTTCCAGTGACCACAGGATCTGAATTCCGGGGGTAAAGTATGTGTGACTACCTTGATAGCAAGATTGCATTTGATTGAGTGTGACATCAAGGAACTCCAGCAAAACTGGAGACAATGGGAATTAGAAGGAAAACTCTCCACTGGTTGGAATCATATCTGACACGTAGGAAGATGGTTGTGGCAGTCGGAGATCAGTCATATTGGCTCCAAGATATCTCCGCAGACGTTTCTCAGGGTCGTGTCCTTGGCTCAACCATTTTCAGCTGCTTGATAAATGACATCCCCTCCATCATAAGGTCAGAAGGACATTTGCTGATGACTGCACAATGTTCAATACCATTAGAAATTCCTCAGATACTGAAATACAACAAGATCTGCTTGGGCTGAAAAGTGGCAAGTGACATTTGTGTGACACAAGTGCCAAGTAATGACCATTTCCAACAAGACAAAATCTAACCATTGTTCCCTGACATTCAATGGCGTTGCCAATACTAAATCCCCAACTATCAACATCCTGGGGGAATACCATTGATCAAAAACTGAATTGGACTCGTCATATCAATATGGTAACAAGAACAGATTAAAGCTAGGAATCTTGTAGCAAGTACTTCACCTCCTGACTCCCAAATCCTGTCCACTATCTACAAGGCAGTGTGATGGAATACTCTGTCATTACCCAGATGAGTACAGCTCCTCAGAAGCTTTACACCACCTTGGTCAAAGCAGTCTGCTTGACTGGCACTACATCCACAAACATACACTCCTTCCACCACTACAGAAATTCACCCAGGCTCCCTAGACAGCATTTTCGAAGCCCATGACCTCAAAATCTAAAAGGTTAAGGGCAGCAGAAACATTGGATCATTATCAACTGTAAATTCACCTCAAAGCCACTCACCATCCTGACTTAGAAATGTATCACTGTTCCTTCAATGTTGCTGAGACAAATCCTGGAACTTCGTCTGGAACAACAGTAGTGCACTCCTACACCAAATGGACTGCAGCTATTCAAGAAGGCAGCTCACCACCACTTTCTCAAGTGAAACTAGAAATGGGCAAAATATCTTGGCCCAGTCAGTGACACCCACAACTCATGTGTAAATTTAAAAAAAGTCAACATTACTATCTAAGAGATAGTAGGAACTGCAGATGCTGGAGAATCTGAGATAACAAGGTGTAGAGCTGGATGAACAAAGCAGGCCAAGCAGCATCAGAGGAGCAGAAAAGCTGACGTTTCGGGCCTAGACCTTTCTTCAGAAATGGGGGAGGGGAGGGGAAGGGGGTTCTGTACTATCTTATCTTACTACCTTACTATCTAAGGGTCGGTTAGCTTAATTACCTGGATGGCTGGTTTGTCATATAGAATAATGCAAATAGCATGGGTTTAATTCTCATCAGCTGAGGTTACTGTGAAGAACTCTCCTTCTCAACCTCTCCCCTCACTTGAGATGTGGTGGCATCAGGTTAAACCAACATCGGTTGTCTCTTTTTAATGAAAGAGCAGCCCTGTGGTCTGGTAGGACTGTGGCGACTTTACATTTTATAGAAAAAAACCCCGAAAGGACTGAGCATGATGAAAATTTGAAACAAAACAGAAATTGCCGGAAAATCTTAGGTCTGGCAGCATCTGTGGGTAGAAATCAGAGTTAACGTTTTCAGGTCCAGTGACCCTTCTTCAGAAGGTTCTGAAACATTTCAGCTCCACAGCTGCTACCAGACCTGCTGAGATTTTTCAGCCACTTCTGTTGTTGTTTACATTTTATAGGACTATCATAAGGCAGAGCTGGGGTGATATTCCTGGGTAGTAGGAACTGCAGATGCTGGAGAATCCGAGACAACAAGGTGCAGTGCTGGATGAACACAGCAGGCCAAGCAGCATCATCGGAGCAATGATGCTGCTTGGCCTGCTGTGTTCATCCAGCTCTGCACCTTGTTGTATCTGATATTCCTGGGATCAGGTTAATAGTTCCCCCTCAGCCAACGTGGTCCCTTAGGACTCTCATAAAGCAGAGCAGGGGAGACATTCCTCGGACCAAGTCAATAATTCCCCCACAGCCAACATGGTCCCTTACATCATAAATCACAGCAGGGCACACATCCCTGGGTTACGTCAATATTAATTATACGGAAGACGCGGAGTGGGGCCAGGCGACGACGCGTTAACGTCATCACGCACGGTGTCTGCCTGCACGGACCCAAGATGGCGTTTACTTTCGCGGCCTTTTGTTACATGTTGGCGCTGCTTCTCACTGCCGCACTCATATTTTTCGCTATTTGGCATGTGAGTTACAAAAGTTATATACAGTTTTGTACCTGTGCTGATTATGTTTTAGAAAAGGCGTCTAGACTTTTGCAAAGGCGAATTCTGCTGACTCGGTCTGAGGGGAGAGAAGCTGATAGCGGTAGATCTGCCGGTTGGTCCTGGTTAACAGGCCCGAGACTGGGAGGGAGGGTGTCCCGGCTCTCCCTCAGTACAGGGAGCCCATCTCTCTCTTTCTCACTAAACCTTTGAAATATATTCTCAATTCGACCCTCTTGTTGAAAATAATCATCGTTTCTGATGTTCTCGCTTTCTTTGAATACTCTCAGAGATTTGGAATGATTGTTGCCAGACTATTCAATTGAGTGTCAACATCCCGAGTAACTCCGGACCGCATCCTCGGTTTTGCCAAATATAAGGCTGTTATTACAACTTCTTGATGCATGCAATGTATTTTTGCATTTAAAAGCCTTAGCAGAAAGAGTAGTATATGATAATCATCACATCGAATACACCTTTTAGTTTGTTGAATAATCTAGGTCAAACAGTTTGTGAGATTGCAAATGCCTTTATAAAGGAATACACAATTAAATTACACCCTTATACCGTGTACTGTTTTCCAGATTATAGCATTTGATGAATTGAAGACTGACTACAAGAATCCTATAGACCAATGTAATACACTCAATCCTGTAAGTGAATGTGAGATGATTTAAAATATTTATGACTAAATTAATTTACTTTATATTTAGATATTCAGTTTCCTCTGCTTACAGGACTGTTTTTATTTGAGTCTGTTGATTCACGCTTGCTCCACCTTTGTATTCTGACTGTTATTAATCTGCAATGATCTTGTCAGCTGTCATACTAACATTCTTTCAATCTGCTTTTGTCATTTCTTTCGGCACAAAGACAGTTGTAAAGGTCAAAAAGATTAAAAGAGTCAAAATGGCATTAAAGGTTCGTACTAACTTCTAGTTAAAATGCCTTTTGTTTTAATACGGTTTTCCTGGAGGTCATATGTGAATGTCTTTCAGATTATATTCAGATTATATGGGGTAAAATCTAAACCTGTTCACGTGTTTGCAAAGAAATTGTTTTAATACTGCGTTGAAAAAATTGCCTGTAGTTTGGGGGTATTACAATTGAGTTTTAATCTGTAAACCACACTGACCAGGGCTGATTGTATCATCAAATAATGTAGGATTCGGAATCAGAATGCACTTTGAAATTGAAGGATACGGTGTGTGTTAAACTCTTACAAGTTCAACTGTTGTAATTTTTAACAACTTAATAAATCCTTTGGAATGATTAAAGACATTCAAATTCAAATGCTTAAGTTGCTTAACTGAAAGACTATTGTAAATGACCCAGCGTGGCATCATCAAGCATATAGCACGTTCTTGTGCATAAAGTGGAGCATTTATTGTTGGTGTTCAATATTCATCTCAATATTGAGATTTTGGTGGGCAACCTTTCAATGTCTGAAAAGATGCATTGAGAAGATACATTTGTTAATTATTGAGCAGTCATACGAACATTTTTAATTATACGTACTAGCAAAATGTCAATATTTTAATTTGTGGTTTATTGGCTGAAACACTATTCACAAGTCAAAACTTAATTGTGGATAAAAGTCCAATTGGCAATGTTCATTCATCCAGCCAGAAATATACAGCAAGTTCTCCTTTCCTGCTCGTAACTGTGACATGCAGTTGTTTCTTCAAAGAATCCTGAGTGTTGCTTCCCCGCCTATACCTGGAGCTTCATTCCATCTGTTGCATGATCTGCGTTTGCTTTTTATATACCGAGCCAGTGTCCTTTTGCCCTGTTCTAGAAATTTAGTTTGAATTAATTTTCCATATAAACCTGTATGTCATATCATGCAAAACTCTAGAGTATTATTCTTGTACATTCTTTAAATGTTAAAATCTGCAAGTTTTAGGATTTTTATTCGACCCTGAAAACCTCAACCAAATTTTCAATTTTCGTCTGATATCTCATTCAATCGCTCAGAGGTAGTGATGCCCCACGAAATGTCTCTCCATAGGAAGGCCTGCCATGCCTTTTTCAAAACAGGCACTTCACATGCCAGTGTGCCATCTAAAGTTCTGCCCCTGGGGGCAGAGGTCCCACTTAGTGAGAGCTGCTGACAAATCAGAGGCCATTTGTTGCATTTAGTAATCCACAGTGAAGGCCATAGCTTTCGATGGAAGGATAACTAAGACTATGAGGATTGAAGTGTTAAATAAGCACTTCGTGGTAGGAGATTCCACCCAACCCCCTTGCCCCACCATCCCTCTCTCCACTCCATCTGGTTCATTGCTTTAACCTGGTCTAGTCTGATTCCAGTCTCACCAACATGTTTGCCTTTTACCTATGTCGTGAGTGCCTAAACAATCCAATCAGTTGTGTCAAGTTGGTACCTTGGGGGAGCTAGTGATGTGCCATAAATCTTACCCTTGCCAGTGACATCCACAACCTAAAAATAAATTAAATCTTCAATCTCTGTCACCTTGGCAAAAGAAAAGCATGCTGCAAATACTCATGCAGGATTATAGTTTTTAACTTCATTTTTTTCCCCAAAGAAGGTGACTCAGTCTTTGTTTCACTATTGGCGTAATTTATTCCATACCTCCTCTGAAACAGTTATTCATGTATCTGAGCTTGCTGTTGAACTGTCACTTTCACCTTGACTAAGAAACAGAAACACAGTGGTCCAGGGAATGATCGTGAAAGGGCTTACTGCTCTGTTTGATGTTGGCTTGCATTCATTGACTGAACCATTGCTTGCATCTTTCTGGTTTTTATGTAGAGACAGATATTTGACATGGGTTTGGAATTTTGTATTTCAGTGAGTTATATTGCAGAGAAATTTGGACACAGAGCAGGCTGTTGGGCCCAAATGGTATATGCTGGCTTTTATGCTGTACACACATTCCCACCCAGTGGCCTTCAACTAGTTCTGTTGGCATGTCCTTCTATTCTTTTTCCTCATTTTCTCATAGAGTCATACAGCATGGAAACAGACCCTGGAGTCTAACTAGTCGACACCAACCATGTTCCCAAACTAAAATAGTCCAACTTTCCTGCATTTGGCCCATCAAGCCTCCAGACCTTTTCTGTTCATGTATTTATCCAAATGCCTTTTAAATGTACCTGCTTTCACCACTTCCTCTGGCAGTTCATTCCACACACGAACCACTCTATGTAAAAAATATTTTGCTCCTCATGTCCTTTTTAAAACTTCCTTCTCTCACCTTAAAAATATGCTCCTCTGTTTTGAACTCCCCCACCCTAGGGAAAAAATCCTTGCTATTCACATGATCTCTGCCCCTCATGATGTTATAAATCTCGATAAAGTCACCGCCAATCTCCTACGCTCCAGTGAAAAAAGTCCCAGCCTATTTTAATAACTCAAACCCTCTATTTCTGGTAAAATATTCTGGTACATCTTTTCTGAACCCTCTCCAATTTAATAATATCCTTCCTATAGCAGGGTGACTGCACACAGTATTCCGGAAGTGGCCTCACCAACGTCCTGTACAACCTCAACATGACATCCTGACTCCTATACTCAAAGATCTGAACGATGAAGGCAAGTGTGCTTAATGCCTTCTTAACCACCCTGTCTACCTGTGACGCAAATTTGAAAGAATTATGTACTGGAACCCCTAAACCTCTCTGTTCTACAACACTACCCAGGGCCCTACCGTTAATTGTATAAGTCCTGTTCTTCTTTGTTTTACCAAAATGCAATATCTCACATTTATACAAATTAGACTGCATCTGCCACCCCTCAGCCCATTGACCCAATTGATCAAGATCTCTGTAATCTTAGGTAACCTTCTTCACTGTGCACTGTCCACTATACCACCAATTTTGGTGTCATCCACAAACTTGCTAACCATGCTTCCTATATTCTCACTAAATCGTTTATATAAACGACACAGAAAAGTGGACCGAGTACTGATTCCTGTGGAACCCTGCTGGTCACAGTCCTCCAGTGTGAAAAACAACCCTCCACCACCACCCTCTGTCACCTACCATCAAACCAATTTTGTATCCATATGACAAGCTCACCCTGAATTCCATGTGATCTAACTTTACTAATTAGTCTACCCTGCAGAACCCATGTCAAAGGCTTTGCTAAAGTCTGTATAAACAATTTCTACTGCTCTGCTCTCATCAGTTGTTTTGGTTACTTCCTCAAAAAACTCAAACACGTTTGTTAGACATGATTTCCCCTTGCACAAAACGATGCTGACTATCCCTATTCAGTCCTTGCCTCTCCAAATGCATGTAAATCCTTTCTTTCAAATTCACCTCCAACAACCTGCCCACCACTGATGTCAGGCTCACAGGTCTATAATTCCAGACTGCTCTTTACAGCCTTTCTTAAGTGAACGCACAACATTAACACCCTTTGGAACTTCACCTGTGATTGTAGATGATACAAATACTTGCAAGGGGCCCTGCAATTTCTTTCCTAACTTCCCACAATATCCAGGGTACACTTGATCAGGTCTCGGAGATTGATCCGTCTCTATGCTTTCTAAGACCTCCAACACTTCCTCTTCTGTGATGTAAACTGTTTTCAAAGCATCAATATTTATTTCTCCATTTCTTTCTTCACAATAGTAACAGACGTAAAATATTTATTTAGTATTTAGTATCTCCTATCTCCTGAGGTTCAACACATAGACCACCTCATTAAGGGGCCATAGTCTCTCTCAAGTGTGTTCTTTTGCTCTTAATGTACTTGTGGCCAAGGCTATCTCATTTCCCTTCTTTGCCCTCCTGATTTCCCTCTTTAGAATTCCCCACACTCTTTGTTTGATGAGATTCATTCGATCCCAGTTGTCTATATCTAATGTATGATTCTTTATTATTCTTGACTAGAACCACAATATCTTTATATATCCATGTTCCCTACTGTTACCAGCCTTACCTGTCACTCTAACAGGAACATAATGCCTCCGAACTCTCGTTATCACACTTTTTTTTTCATAGAAGAATCCTTACAGTGTGGAAACAGGCCCTTCGGCCCAACAAGTCCTCACCGACCCTTGGAGCATCCCACCCAGACCCATCCCCCTATAACCCACCTAATCTACACATTCCTGAACACTACCGGCAATTTAGCATGGCCAATCCACCTAGCCTGCACGTCTTTAGACTGTGGGAGGAAGCCGGAGCACCCGGAGTAAACCCACACAGAGACGGGGAGAACGTGCAAACTCCACGCAGACAATCGCCCGAGGGTGGAATTGAACTCGGGTCCCTGGCGCTATGAGGCAGCAGTGCTAAACACTGAGCCACCGTGCCGCATTGTTGCAAGAGTTCCTCAGGACAGTGTATTAGGCACTTAGATGCTTCATCCTTCATCATAAAGTCAGACACAGAATCATTGAACTCTGCTGCAAGACCTCTTTCAAGCCACTCATCCAGATTTGGCAATATCTCTGTTTCTTCAGTGTTGCTGGGTCAAATCCTGGAACTCCCACCCTAATGCCATTGTGGATGTATATACACAAATGGACTGCAATGGTTCAAGAATGCAGCTCACCAGTATCCTCTCAAGGTCAACTAAGGCAAAAAATGCTGGCCCAGCCAGTGAACATCCTGTGAATGAATAAAAAATAACTTCTCATTTGGTAGAACCTCTACTAATTGCTAATTTCCATTTTCTGGTTTAATACTGTTTATTAAGACAGGTAATCAAAATTCCATTCTGCCATGCTCTTCCTCAAGCCATATTTCTAAAGAAAAGGATAATCTGGAAGTAACCATTTCATTCTGAAAAGTTTAACTTTTGTTGGCTTACACTCGGACTACCATGAAAATCAAAGACTTCTCAGATTATCAGTGCAAGGCAATAATTTGGAACAGTATCACGTGATCATGTACTTTTATGCTAAGGCACTGGTACACTAAGGCTGCTTTGGGGCTATTGTGGTAATGTCTGTGGATTAGTAGAAACCCAGGTTAAACTTCTGGGGACGTGGGTTCGAACACCACTATGGCAGGTGGTGAAATTTGAAAGCAGTAAAAATCTGGAATAAAAGCTAAATGGTGACTATTGTACGATTGTTGTGAAAACCCAGTTGGTTCACTAATATCCTTTCGGGCCCCAGAGCAAAAATTGGTAAATACACCTGGGTACTCTAAAGGTGACTGAAAGTGGAATGATTAAAACAGGTGTAGTGAGGGTAGAGGATAAAGCATACTTTTGAGCAGATTAAAGGAAACTTTGCTGTTTAGCTGATCAATATCAGACTTCAGAATGTTTGATATTGAAATTAGAGCACAATGTAACAAAAATATCCCACTTGCTGGAATCAACATCCTTCATGTGAGCATAAAATTTACCTCCAAGTATTTGAATGAGAAAAATGTGTTCTACATTTGAAAAACGTTCTAACTGTTTCACTTTCCTGGTTTCTCCCCTCCATCTGCTTTCTTAGGATGTTGCTTTCAACCTTATATTTAACAAAAATTAAATCATGTGGCCTTTTGTTCCTGAGCTACAAATCCTGCCAACTGAATCTTAAGATGTTTGAAGATTGACATGATTTAAGGTCCATCAGCTTTGACACAGTTTCTTTCTAGGGTCAAATTTAAAATGGAATCACTTGAGTTATTTTGCTTACATCATAATTGTGCCTGGATGAAACACGGTGCTCTAAGGATTAAAGTTCTTTAAGAAATTATTGTAATATTAAAGACTACATATATTTTAAATATTTTAGAAAATAACAAAAAAATTTTCAATTTTCTTCAACTTGCATGTCATGTGGCTGCTACATTCCTTGCTTTATTCCAAACTGATGTTCCTGTTTATGCTTTTTAACATTTATGGAATTTGTATGGGATTTTGTTGGAATAGTTCTGCTCCATTTATTGCTCCCATTGTTCTGAATGCATGCCTGTCAATAAATTTGCAGCTTGGGCAGGGCATGTAAATGTCTCAGAATTTTTTATTCATTTTCATGTGAGAGATGGACTTGTTCATTGCCCTGAGATTCCTTGAAGTTTTGTTTTTGTCTTTATCAGATCTGAACCAACTTATTTTCCCGTATTGTAAATAATGCTGGCGAATGATACACTTTGCATGAAAAATGTGGCATGGGATAAATGATGTGGAGGTGCCGGTCTTGGGCTGGGGTGGACAAGGTCAGAAATCACACGATACCAGGTTATAGTCCAACAGGTTTATTTGAAAACACAAACTTTTGGAGTCCTACTCCTCCTTCAGCTGTTTTGCTTTGGAGTTAGATTGCTTGTATTTCTAAAGTAGAAATTTATATAACACCACACTGTCTATAAATTGAATGCTTTTTGAACAAAATAGAATGTATCTGAAAATACAAATTCACCCCACAGACTCGTGTGTGTGTGTGTGTGTGTACATGTGCGCGTGAGAGAGAGAGGAGGGAAGAGAGAGAGTGTGCGCGTGCCTGCGTTTGTGAGAGACAGTGAGAGGGGAGAGAGAGTGTGTACGTGTGTTTGTGGGGAGTGGGGAGAGAGTGTGCGTGAGAGTGGGAGTGAGCGGGGGAGAAGGAGGGCATGCATGCGCGTGACAGTGCGCGCACACTCTCTCCCATTCACACTGTTTCTCTCTCTCTCCACACACACGCAATACTCCCTTCCCCTGCCCCCCCCCCCCCTCCCCCCCTCCCTCCCTCCCTCCCTCCCTCCCTC